TTGACAGGAAAAGAACAATTTTGTTTTGTTTAGAAGTATATAAAACAAGAGTTTTATTTTTGTCGAAAGCAAATAGCGATGTACCTACTTCTTTTTTTTTTAAAGAATGTAGCAGGTATTTCTCTCTTATTTTTTCTCAAAGTACTTAGGAGAATTAATTGATACTGTTCTTACATTTGTTCAGCTAAGGGAATTTACGTAAACCAATTATCAACAGTGAGGTTTCGGTTAGTTCCATGTATTGGTTGTGAAAGTTTTCGAACATAATAAGCCGGTACTGATTCATTGTTTTCTGTGGTTACTCTTCCAACGTATGGAATTGGTTTTTGAATCATTATTCTCATTCGATACTTATCAAGCTTACTAGCCACGTAGATTCGAAATGGACATTTTCCTCCATATCCTACAAGCTGTCCATCTACAGGACAGTATTCGTATGGTGTATAGTACGATTTACAGTTATTCACAAAAATGTCGTATAGGTGTAAATTTATGCACTAATTTTCTTTCTGCTCTACTGTCGTTACTATCAAACCTCAGACATAAGGCTATAAATTGAAATCGCTGCTGTGACATCGTCGCCCGAAATATTCCATTTCCAAATTTTACTGACCAAAGTTCATCTATGTTACAGTTAGATACTCGTAATGCACCTGCTAAAAATAACAGCCCAATGAAAGCCTTCACTCTGTTCTAGTTACTGGTCTTGTGTAACTCTGGTGTCTAATATCATTGCATTTATGAATGACTTCTTCATTTGAGTGCAAAACAATAACACCTATCATTTGTTCGTTGAACAACAAATTGCAAGATTGTTCAGGAGATTCAACTGTGCTCGTTTCTTCTTTGGGGCCAGGTGAATGTATTACAATGTTTTCTCGTCTTGTACGACCCTGTCTTGATGGTGCTTGTGTGCTCCACCGATGACCATTTTTCCCCAGTAAACTAGGAATATTTCTAACTGGTTCATCCACTATTTCGTCTTCATTGTCGCTTTGTTTACTGTTGCTGTCTGACAGTTGCTCTTCATTGTAATCTTCATCAGCTCGTCCCCTCCAAACATATCCTCTACGATGTCGTTTTCACTCTCTTTCTCCCATAAATTGTCTGCCTCTCTCTGTAATTCTACCTCAGTTAAAGGACAACGATTTTCTCTGCTAGTAGATGACTTTACTCGACTATTTTCTCTACTAGTTGACGCCATTATACTAACATAAATAAAAATAAGTTGAAACAAAATTATTACCCTTGGGTCCTGGGTACCCATGCTGGTACTTCTGGAAATATCTTACCTCGTTGTTTCACGAAAATGCAGCGGATGACCCGTATTCTAACTCGGCTTACGACAGACTGAATTTACATAAAGTGACGACCCACATAAATCACTCATGCGCATGTCACATTGCAATTAATGACTCTCTGGGTTTCTGAGACCCAACAGTGCAGTTTCAGGGTTAAGTTTTCACTTTCATAAAATGATTTGAAAAAGGACAAAAAAGACCCCACGCAATAAATTTTTGAAACTCCCTTTTAATACCTATAGATAAATAAAAATATCGTAAAAGAAATGAAGGACAGAATTTACAAAACAGTCATTAGACCAATAATGGCATACTCGGCAGAAACACGACCTGACGCAGAGAGGACAACAAAATACTACAAATAGCAGAGATGAAAAGCCTTAAAAAATCGATGACAGGACACTGCGGAACAGAACTAGATGTACTAGAAATGGAAGATCTAGAAATTAAAAAATAGAATTAAATGATCATATAAGACGGAAAGACGGAATGGAAAAACCACGAAAACAATAAAACTACAACTTACTAAAGGTACATTTAAAAACAGACAGAGCCATGTCTATACAAAAAGAAGAAGAAAAAATAAGATTAGAACGTCTTTGGTGGTGAAGTGTCAATAATCTTTAGCAGTAATAAAAAATAACATGATCTTGCCTTTCTATTTGTTTTAAAAATTGGGCCCAAATGTAATAAATTAAAATATTTGTATATTTGGTATCTACTTATGATGGCTACTCATCGTGTAAATGGGATATAGGGCATATATAGTCCACTAATTTCCATGCGATCGCTCCAATTCTAACAATTCTATGACTTCTAACTAGCAAGTAAAACCATGATCTAACGGCGTGTGGAGTGCCAATTGTGGTCAGAACATTAACCATTCCCGCAGAACGTAGAATAATATCGAGGTTCTAGTTTAGTTTTCGCGCCAGCGCTTCCGAGCTCCTTTAAACCGTGTTGGGCTACTGAAAAATATGACAGAACTCACCGAGTGTGGCCAGATTTATTTTCCTTGTGTCGCCAATACAATCTCGAAATGTCGCCAATTTTTGACAGATATCGCCACTAGTATGACGTCATACTTCTTGCTCATAAAGAAATAAAGACTGAAAATTTTTAAAAGTAATATATATTGTCGTTTCGTGCAGGTACCATAATGATAATGGATTAAAGTTATTTGCTCATTGAGGAACTTTTTATATTTTCGTATTTCTTTTCAGTAACTAGACTTTCTTTGTTACCTTTTATCATAATTATGTTATCATGCACTCTATTGTTGTTTATATTACTAAGGTCAGATTGTTCGAACGCTTATCAAAACTTGATTGTAATCAAATATTTAATTACAATCAAATACGTCACTGCAGCTGTAAAAATTGCTTATTATTATTATTGATTTGTAAATAAAAACATAAAATTATCAGGAAGAGTTTAATTTTGGTTTATTTTAAATTAAAACTCAAAATAATAAAATAAAATAAAATAAATCAGTCAACAAAACCTCAAAATGTGATTTATTTGATTTTAATTAAGGCTGTTTTAGCAGTTCAAGCACACAACTCACTGACCGTACGTTCATGAGATTTGACGTCACGAAAGCGATAACGATAAATCTAAGCTGAGTAACACGTTTCACTGTTAGATTTTAGTATTTTTTAGCAATTTTCTTCAAAGTTGTAACACGCTTTTCTCGATTATTACTGGAAACAGAAAGGTGAAACAAAAATTAACGATTACAGAAAAAAACTCTTTCAAGTGATAGGCGTAAAAAGTTTGGTTGGTATAATACTACAGTAAAATACTACATCAAAAATTATACAAAAAAATGTGAGTGTGACATCAGCGATTTCCAGTTCGGGTTTAGGCAAGGTTTAGGAACACGAGAAGCAATAGTAGCAACACAGGTGCTGGTCCAAAATTGTTACGATCAGAGGAAGGATGTGTTGCTGTGCTTTTTGGATTACCAAAAAGCGTTTGATCGTGTCCAACACCACAAGTTAATACAGATTCACAAGAAAGTTGATATTGACCAAAAAGACATAAGATGCATTGAAAACTTGTACTGGCATCAAACGGCACAGTTAAAAATAGACAATTCTATATCCGAACCCATACATATAAAAAGAGGCGTTCGACAGGGATGTGTGCTTTCCCCTCTTTTATTTAACATTTATTCGGAAGCCATATTTCAAGAGTCTTTGGAGGATGTAGAGATGGAATCAAGGTGAATGGAGTATTGATCAACAACATACGATATGCTGATGATGGTGTCTTAATTTGTGACAACATAGTCGATCTTCAACAACTTGTCACTATAATCGGAGAATACAGTAAGCGAATGGAATTAGAGATTAATACCAAAAAGACCAAATTCATGATCATCTCCAGAAACTTGGATGCACTTAAAAACTCCACCATAACACTGAATACTAAGTCCATTGAAAGAGTGGCTTTATCGCCGTATCCTAAAAATACCATGGACAGCGAAAATCGCAAATATAGATAAAAAAAAAGTGAGGTTAGTCTTCGTAAATGGGTATATTTATTTAAAGACCCTTAAAAGGGCTACATCAAACAAACAAACATTAGAGTCCATCATCAGGTTTAAATTTTAAAATTGCCTAAAATAAGTATAAACCATTTAGTTAAAACAAACTTGGTTATGAAATTTTGACTATGGTTAAAAAGCAAAATGGCTATACTTACTAGGTTATAATGCCTGAGCCACCAAAATATCTGGGTAAAAACCCTTTAAATTACATATAGTTGTAAAAGATTATACATCATGTTGTAAAAAAACTGTGATGTTCAGTATTAAATTAAATATGACTTCAGGTAACATACATGGCTGAAGTGAGTTCCAGAGCCGGAGAGTAAACCTCTTCACACGGAGAACAGCTGGTAACTGATTGACAATATACCTATGAACGATGTCGAAAACAAAATGTCAATGTAACATGGAACTATATTAGTTATACCTAGTATTACCACAGCTAGGAGAGAGAGGATATTCTCTCTCCTGATACTGACAAAGAATGTAAAGCGTAGAATCTTTTAAAGTAATTTTAAACTGTTTGTCCTTGTTTTAGTGTAGTGTTTTGTACAATTTTATGTTTTCATACATGTTTATCACATTCTACGCTTGCTGGATAGCTCATATTTGACGAAATGCCCCTGAAGATGCTATTTTAAGCGAAAGTACTTGGGCAAGATTTAATTAAACTTGTGCTCGATAAGAACCTTATTTTTCAAAGTACAAAAATAATATTTAAAGGACAAGAGTTGAGTAAAGGATTTGCTAATGCAAATTTAAGAACTTAGATTAAAAATAAGTAGATGCTCTATTAATTTAAAACTGACAATTACTCTCAGTAATTAATTAAATTTGCTTTGTTTATTAAAAATTATGTTATAAGAAAATTATTATTAAGGTATTTTTTGTCGAAATACAAAATTAATAAATTCAATCAAAGTTTCGACGCTAAAATAACGCAAACAATTATGGAATCTAAATTTTGGGACATCCTGTACGATGCGTTCTACCTCCAATATTAAACTCTCGAATATATAAAAAGGATATTATTATCGAAACGATTCAAATTGATCTCGGTCGTGAAACCGGTACGATAAAATATATTATTATCTTAACTAGAGCAATCACTTCATTGTAAATCGTGAATTAAACATATCGTCAACATGAGTAAATACGTCTATCGGTCGCCGTTAAATGACGCTATTTGTGCTCCTGAAAGGGAGCAAAAGTGCCCATGGAATCCGAAGGTTGACAGATCGACCTCAATTCATACAAAGGTCGATTGGTAAGTAGAGTATAATATTTTTATTTTTTTTTTTATATTACATGTATAATTCAATTTTTTGGTCGATTCTTTTCTTATATTTGAAAATAATTGGCATTATACAATGTTTGATATTTATAATAAACTGCGCGGCATACCGCAAGTTAGGGATATTGTCAATATAATGGTAATGGTACTTCATTATGCATCAATTATTTGTAAGTAAACAATTGAAAATTATTACATTAAACATTCTAAGTATTGACATAGCACCTGTACAGCCATTTGAAAATGATTTTTATTCTCTCTAATGGGATAAACAAATGTACCTATCTAATTGTTTAAAAATTACTTGATCGATTGTGCCCATCTTTCGAAAATGTGGTACCTACATAAAAACATTACGAACTGTGTTTTAAATGTTTTTATTGTTTATTTTAAGAAATATAAACAATAGAGGAACATGCTTACTTTCTGCTTTAACTTGCAATAACTTTTCTGTTTATAAATATTTTTTAATTTAGAAAATCTCATTTTAAAATGCAAATAGTTTCTTGAAAATTGACTGTTAAACGTTTTTATTTATTTTAGAATGTGTAGTTTTTCACAATATTGAAATAAATGATAAAATTCGCTTTTTTTTTGTTTAAATTTCATGACGCAGGAAAAGTTTCGATAACCACGAGAAGATACGTCAGATAACTTCCCTCAGATTTCAGTTAAAAATTAAACAACTTATAAATTTAATTTAATTAATTATTTATTTCTTGGAATAAAAAAAAAAAAAAATAAAGTAATAATTGGTAATGTAGATCAGTGACTTGATTGAAATTGATTTAGGTTGAAAGTTGTATAATTGAGGGGTCCGGCAGTAAAAAATGGTAAGGGACAATAAAGAAGATTTGACTTTTGAAGTGTTGAATTTTGAAAAAAATATTCTTATATTTTTTATTGAAAAATATAAGACTATGAATCATACTAAAATTAATTGATTATGTTGTTAATCAGTAGGCAAAATGTGAAATAACAAATACTTTTTTACAATGTGCTTATTGAGGAAATTATGAAAATGTTTACAACTTAACATTATTTACCTAAAATATTTGAAAAAGTTTAACGTAACATGTCAAGTGGTGTTGACTTAACATAATTTGGTAGGTACTGGGAGCTTATCTTAAATTTATATACCATTCGTGATAAACAGCTAGACTCCATTCCAAGAATCATTTTAAATCTTTCAGTTTTTCTGCATGAATAAATACTAAGGGGATGATAATATTTTTGAGTAAGTGTAGGAAATTTTTCTTCTGCAGCTGTTGGTCTTCCTCTTTTATTCAAGGACATGGAATTAAATAATCCGCTGTAAGATACGCATAATTTCACACTACTTTGTAAAATACCTACCGGTTGATTAAAATAGCTTTTCAGTACTGAACAATCGTATACATCCTCTTGCTGGACCCCACTTACTAGAAAAGGTTTCTTTTTCTGACACTTCTTCCAAATATCTTCCCAGTGATTGGGCGAATAGAACATTTCACAGTTTTTCTTGGCCTAATTTCTATAACAGAAAGTTTCTATCGCTTGGCAACTGTATGTCTACTGGAAATATATGAACTATTCTTTAAATAGTCATTTGTAAAAGATAAAGCCAAGACCAATGATAGTCATTTTATTTTGTCGCAGCAATGTCTGAAATAGCTATTAGTTTTCTGCCACGAATATTATTTTTCTCAAAGTACATTTTGAGCAGCTAGTGATTTCGTCTGACCTTCTTTTAGCAGTTGATTAATCCCACATAAAAAAGTGACCCCGACTATCTTCAAGGGAATGTATGCTTAAATTATAGCACCACAGCTTTGGTGTGGGAAGGGTTTGCTGTAGATCAAAACTTATTGCATGCACATCTGGGTTTAAGCTTGCTTCCTTTACTGCGTCTCTGACTGCTCATTGACCTGCTTCAGCTTTTCTATGATGTAATTCTTGTTCAGTTTTAATTTGTTCAACTCCAATTTCATCATTGTGTAACTTAGTATTTTCTAAAGCTACTGAAACTTTATCACACGTTTGACATGTATCCATGTTTTGAAATTTATATTAACATTTTTCAGTAAATATTCTTCTGAACTTATCTGCAGAAACTGGAGTTTTCTTTTTCAAAATGAACGTATTTCTCATAATAAGTCCGAATGGAATATTTCATACTCATATATTGTCTAGAGTTGTCAGCACGGGTGTAATGGCTTTTGTACTTAGGTAAGCTTTCAATAAAAGATTTCAGAAAATCTATATCAGAATTGGAATATTTTTTAGGATGATTTGAATGTCGACCTCTTAGATCTGATTTTGGAGTATTTGATCCAGTTTTAAAATGTTTTACTAGATTTTCAACTTGACCTCAATTTTGCATACCTTAACATCTTTTCCTTGCATTTTAATTTCTATTTAATAGTTTAAGATCTTTTTGACAGTAGTGCTTTAATTTTCTTCCTAGTCACATTTTGTGTATCAAAATTGTTCATGTCAATGCCTCCCAGTTTATATACGGCAGCCTAAATGGTTAGTAAAATAGAAGAAAATGGGGCACTTCAATTTTTATTTAACGATATTTTCGTTTTGATACATCACCTAGAAGACTTTTAACATTGAATAGAACAGGAAAACGCTTATTTAAATCATAATATAAATAGCGAAGAGTTATCAATCAATCAAGACATTGTGAAGCAACTACTACAATGCCGTTTAAACATTTGCATCTCGTCCTTCTGGAAAATTTAATTCTTTGAATTTTAAGTATTATTTTTCATTGTTGTAAGTTGAAATTTTTAGATATTAAATATTATATTTATATAAGATATAGAATTAAGCCACAGTTGATTCGAATCCAGGTATTTAAAAACGATTTCCGGAGTGGAAGTCGAAACGGCAAACATTCGTTAAAATTATAGTTTTAATTGAAATCAATTGTGGCTTAATCCCATATAAACATAACATTGAATAGCAATTTTATAATCGTATTAATATATTCTGCAATTTTCGTTTATTTTGATCATAACCCAATCCAGTATGACCAAAAAAGGTTGAAGAATATTCAAAAAGCAACTATTACTGAACTTTGTCGAATACAATATGTGAAATTCAACTATTCATAACGACATTGAATTCGAGTTAGAATTAAAATTTAGTTAGTTGCTCAAAGTGATTTTTAATCCAAATGACGAAGACATGCCTATGTTAAAGCAGTTATCAATGGTCAAAAATATTAATTTCAAGAAAACCAAATCTTTGTAAACCATTCTTTTCTAAAGAATGATTTTACTTGATTTTGTTGACCAAGAAGTCATTATAGTTATTAGTTTATCATATTTCTCTTTTTCTTAGTATTCAACATAATTTTTTCTGAGAATCTTGTTAAACGCTTTACAAAAACATCTTAATATTATCTAGTTTTTTCCTGGTTAATATTAAATCGATTGGAAGTATTGCTACTTTTTTAAGCAACAATGTAAGTAAGCTTTAAAAATTGTAATTTTTTTATAGGAAAGCACCTAAGCCAAAAATCTTGCCGAATGCGTTGCATGCAATTGGTAATACTCCATTGATCAAGCTCAACAGAATACCTCAGCAAGAAGGATTGGAATGTGATATATGTAAGTCCTATTATAGTTCGGTTACAGATAATTGAGAAATTTAAAGAGATAGACCAATTGATGTACAAGGGGTACCGAACTGAGCTTAGATTAAATGACATCTGTTTTAATAGTTCCTCTTTAATATTTTGCCTTGTTACAGGATAGTATTCAGAAAAGTGCAAAAATAATTACTGTAAAATATAATTTCATTAGGTACAATTATAATAAATATATTATATTTAAATAATTATAACTGTTGGGTCTATTTAATCAAAATAATGTTTTTACCTTTAATTACAATAATATTTTTATTTACGCTACTACTAAAAGTTGCCGATGTAAGCCCCTTTTTATACCTTTCAATAAAATTTATGAGTTTAAGACTTCTCTTACCGGATTGTCGGGTTCTTTTCACAGCCCTGCTGTGCTGATCAAGGTTTTTAAATTTCCACGAAATGCTGAACGAATGATAACAAGACTGATGTGGCTTTCGGTATTGTTATACATATAATTTTTAGTTTAAACTCTGTAAAGAAAGCACGCATTTATTAGTGACGATTTCGCGATTAGAAAAATATTAGTAAATAAAAATGTGGCGCCCATGGGAGAATAGTGCAGTAGAAATTGTTGGGAATAATGAAGTAGAAATTGTTGAAGAAAATGAGAAAATTCTACCACCAAATAATCCTGAAACTATTGCTGGACCAAGTAGAGGAAGTATTAAAAAGCCAGAAAAAAAAAAACATTTATCGAAAGACGCTAAAGAAATTGTGTTAAATGTGTTTAATGGATTATGTGAAGAATTGGAACGGTACGAGAGTGTTGTAAAAACTGCGGCTTTAACAAAAGTTTCATGTGCTACTGTATATCGAATTTTACAGGAGGCCATTACAAATAGACAAAAAAGGAGCGACTTTGGACTACATCGATCTATTGAGCAACATCTTTTAGGTCCCATTTCAGAAAACATTTATAATATGTTTGCAGGTAATATTATACCCACACTTAACCAAATTTTAGCTGAATTAAAATCTAAAAATATTATTAATTGCTGTAAATCAACTTTAAGAAAATGTTTACTATCAAATGGTTTTAAATATAAAACAATCAATAAACGACATACTATAATGAAAAGTGCTCGTTTAATAAAATGGCGTAATGAGTATTTGAAAAAAGATAACCGAGTACAGAAATAGCGGGAGAAAAATTTATTACTTAGTTGAAACGTGGTTTAACACTAACGAAACAACTATCAAATGTTGGAGTAATGACAATTTAAAGTGCAAAGTTAATGTACCAGTTTCCAGGGGCAAACGAATACGCATTTTACATTGTGGAGGGAAGACGGCTGGGTAACCGATGGCTTACTATTAAGTGCAAAAGACATTAAAGATAGTTGTTTGGACTATTATCAAGATATTACGGGTAAACTTTTCCAATCGTGATTTAAAAATAACTTATTACCAAATTTAGCAGACAACAGTGTTATTGTTTTAGATAATGCATACTGTCATTCTAGAAAACTTATATATTATTGATGATGAATATATTATTGATGATGTAGCAAGTAAAAATCGACATACAACTTTAAGACTACCACCATATTACTGCGTTTTAAATCCAATAGTGTTGTTATGGTCTCAACTGAAATATAATGTGAGACAAAAAAATGTAAGTCCGAAATGTTATAACACTGTCGTTGAAATGTTATAACAATTCAGAATTGATTCTGAATTTAAAAATATCTCTGAGGATAACTGGAAGAAAGCAATAGAGTACGTAAAAATATCGAAAAAGAATATGTTAAAAACATTCCTGTTCTAAATAAAATTATTATCAATGTGGAGAAAAGTGATTCAGAGAAAGAAAGTGACGAAGTGTAATACCAGGACAACATTCTCTCAATACTGAGCTTACCCGGAATATTTTCTTACATAATCAGGTGTAGGGATTATCGACATATATTCAACACCAAACTACTGCTTCAATTTTTTAAGAAAAACATGGCCTTATTATGAAAACTTCACTTATTGTTGCAATATCTATATATTTTTATCTTTCACTACCAACCGTTCGCTCAATTTTTAATTAGTTTTTGTATACAAACCAATTATTCAAATCATGAATGTGTTTCTTGTGTGAGTCCATTTCAAATAGGTAAAGAAATAATAAATAAGACTTACTCACAATCAATTTAATTTAACTATCCAGAGAAATTTCTGTCTGGATAGTTAAATTAAATTGATTGTGAGTAAGTCTTATTTATTATTTCTTTACCTAAACCAATTATTGTTTGAACATTTTATAAAAAATGCATTGCAGAAATATCATTAATGTAATTTAAACTTACACAAAATCATCAAGACATAAAATTAAGCTTTGTTTATAACAATACAAATTTATAGAACCAATTTCTTATAAAATATACCATATTATGTTTCATGTGGGTCAGTACTATCCTGTTCTTCACCAGTCATACCGCTGCTTATCGCATCTTTCTCAAATAAATATAACCGGCCTATAATAATATAATTAAATAACACGTCTTTCAAATAAACCCGGGAGTTTTTAATCAAATCTTGTTGTTTCCTTGGATTGATAAAAAAATAAAAATACATTAATTTTATCTAAAAGTTATCAGAAGTAAAATCGGTATTAATTAATAAATTGATTTACCTAAAATTAGATTCATTTGGTTTATTTATCCTTTAATTAATTTAACTGTATCGTTATTTCTTAAATTATCTTTACCAGATTTGGCGTTTTTTTTTAGATATATTTTGGAATTACTTGTAACATATAAGATAGATTACATTCATTTTACATTAAGTCTTACAGGCATGATCGTTTTGGTACTAATTTTTGTACTTTGTTGCTAATTTGCTCTGTTCTCTGAAGAATATTTAATTGAATGAAGAACAGCATTCAATGCTAATCCCTCAAAATAATATTGTGTAGCTCCACAACGCCTTTTTGCATGCAATTAAAATACATTGAAGAGTTTTCGGCTCGGTCAAATAGCCTAGAAACCGTACTTGGCCTGTGTTTCTGTGAATCCAAGCCGGACACAAAATGACAATTTTTTTTTATTTTTCCGACGAAATGCAAATAAAAAGTAATTCATACTAAAAATCAGAGTAAAAGTAAACGTTACCTAAATTAAAGTTATTTTTCATATAAAATAGATATAATTTAAAAACAAATTTATATCTACGGTATCCACTATTAAATAATTTTGTCACTGAATGTGTAACCAAAACAAAAACAGTCTAGGCAATAGAATTTTTTACAGGCATCGCACTTTAACGTGCTATTGGTGGATCTTTCCTGTCTTGTTTGCCTCGTTTGTTTATTTTTGAGTAAACACTATACATCATCTTCTGCCAGTATGACTTATATGTCTAAGCTTATGTTTGTTTTCCAGAATGGCAGCAGCAGCAATAAAATCCCCGCCTCCCCAAGGCTCTTAATTACTTCCTCTTTTGTCTTCTTAGGGTGCTTGTTCGTTCCGAACGTTGGCGATCATTCTGGCTATGATGATTTTGTTGGTTTCTATACGAAATAGCTGTGTTGAACTCTTTCTATACCATGCTCTCAGGTTAGCAAGCCAGGATATTCTGCTTCGTCCTGGGGTCCTTTTTCTTTCAATTCTACCTTGCAAGATGCATTTGAGTAGCTCGTATCTGCCTTGATTTCTCATTATATGTCCCAAGTACTGCAGCTTTCGGCCATTCACGATGTTGACCAAATCCGCGGTGGTGTTAATCCTCCGCAGTACTTCTTCATTGGTGATTTTGTCTGCCCATGGTATCTTCAGGATCCTTCTGTATAACCATTGCTCAAAAGCCTAAAGTTTTGATAGAGTTTCCGTCTTCAATGTCCATGTTTCTATTCCGTACAGAAGCACTGAGTACACGCAACATTTAATTTTTGAACTTCTTCTTTGAATAGGGTAATTGTCATTTTCTCGATGGCAATGCTTTTATGTACGACACAAGCAAGGCTGTGTCGATCAAGAGCTCCATCGAGAATTTTCAATATCCCTTCATTTCTTTACGTAAATCACAATTTAAACTTTAATTTGATTTAATATATCAAGTTATTATTATTAAGCTTTAAATTTATTATATTTAATTACATTCTTCGGCTTTACACCGCGTGTCTTCTGGATTTTTACCATTTCGTCGAATTTGGTACTTTTCATCAATATATCGCGCTTGTCCTTTCATTTTTGAATATCGATGCCAGAGTTGCTTTGTTTAGCGACATATTTGCCTATTTCAATTTCTTGGAAATGACGTTTTTAGAATTATTATACTTATTGTTAGTGTACCAATTACATGTGTTTTTCGGTATACAAATGAATGAGCAAGTGTGTCTGAGGTGTAATAGTTGTAAACCAAAAAAGTTCGTCCTTTGTCAAGAACTCTATTCATGAATTTCATTACCACATTTGTTGGTTCACTGCTGCCTTTGACATATTTTTTTACAATATACGTTGAAATAATATTTTTAACCACCTTTCAGGCAAAGTTTAAAAATCATTATTCCAAAGCTATGCCTTTTGTTGGCAAAATACTGCTTGCATTTTAACCGCCCTTGAAAAGGCATTACAGTTCGTCTAGGCAAACGCTTTCTTTGGGAATAGTGGCAAATAATGTCATCGATTATAACCGAATTGTCGACGAAATGGAGTGTTTTCCGTAATATCTGGAAGCGGTTTGTTGGCCTTATATTTTCGATATAATTTGAATAAAAGGTATTATTTTAATAGTATGACTGCAAATATGAAAAACGGCATAATCTCATGTAGATAACTATATCAAGAAATCGTTTCATTTCGGCGACATCAGTGTTGTGCCATGTGACAATACGTTTGGTTCGACCAAAATTTTAACAGAAATCTCAATTGATATAAATAAAGTAAAGGTACCTAAACTGATCATTATGAATAAAAATGCATCGTCTTCAAAATATCTATAAAATTTTAAGATAGATTTATTCTAGAAGATTTCATT